GATGCTTTTTGTCACTGTAGATTACCTTACTAGAGGCGATGAGAGTGGAATTTTCACTCCTATGCATTGATTCTCGAACTTGGAACAGAATAGAAACAATAGAAACATTTAGAACTTCAATGAACCTTGGATATGATCTGTAATGTAATTCTAATTTCTTTCACTATGTATTTTGACCAATTTGTTAGGGGTTCATCTTGTCATTCCAATGCCCTTTATTGAACGTGTCCTTCTTCTTGTTGGCTCACAACTTTACAAACAGTCGTGCAATTCAAATATTAAGCTAACATCTTTGTGTTCGTTCTACTTACTATCACAGAGGTTTGGCCACAAAAATTCAATGGCTGACTTGAGACTGATTTAAGGTGCACGTGCACACCAAGTGATCTCAGACACGCACCTTGCACGAGTGCTTCACTTATCCAACATGTGCAATTCACGTAGTGATGCTCTAGTAAAAAAGCATAAGGCATACCGTGGCTTTAATTAATCAATGAACAATGTTATGACACTTGATAGTTTGCTTTTAGTTTATCAACATGGAGAAAGCCTGAAATAAGAAAAGAAATAACAAAAATCCAAATTCTGATGTCTTTTGACATTTCGATACCAACTTAAGCTTGTAAAAATATGATGCTAAAAGCCTGTGACCTTTCAACAAGTCAATCTAATAACAGATATAACAACCAGACAAGAAAATACCAAGCAAATATTTATAACTTACAGATAGACACTGAGCAATTATAAGCAACAAATCAACTACTAAGTTTATAGATTGGTTATCCTTTCTTGCATCAGAGTTATGCATACCTTTCTCATGCTTTCCTTTCTTCACTTATCCTCTCATGCTCTCACCAGTCTTTGGCTGTAGTGCTTCCTCAGTATAAAAACAGCGTTTCTATCAGTAGATTACCTTCTGTCTGCTGCTGTTGCTTCTGGATATGGTGCCTTTGGAAGTTAAACCACATGGCCTGAACACTTCCTTGTGAATCTTCCCCTGCCCCTTCTAGGATGAACTTGAGTTACTATGACGTTTTGAGTAGTCATTTGTTCTCGCTTCAGTTATTACTTCTCTTTACTCTGATGCGGCTGGACATATACCAAATAAATTCAAGATAAACTGGACATATACCAAATTCGAGATTCACATTATCTGGGTGTATATACCATCCAAATCTATAGCACCATACACCAAGACTCATATGAAAACATAATTCTTGTATCATCTAAATACCATTTTTTTTTCTAATCTTTTGACAAGCCATCCACCAAGAAAATTACTAAGGCCCACCTCCAACACCAAAATAAGAAAGTCCCACCAAACCGCCACATAAGAGCCTGTAAATTAAATAATGATTCCACAGGCCACAGCTAAACCCACAAAACACATCATTTTCTCGATGATTGAACCTCAAAAACTATCATAAAAGCTCACAATCCCAATCAAAAAATGAAGCAATAACCCCACCAAAAGTCTACAGGCCTACAACACCTAGAAGCGCTACCACCTCAACAAGGGTCGAAACGAACAAAACAAATTAGGGCTGCAATAGCAGTCTACCACCAGCAGCAATACAAGCAATGAAGAGTCATAAAATCTGAAGAAAAAGGTCCAACAAATGACCTCCAAAGCCGAGAATCAGTACACCTCGAAACAACTATAATAGACATGATGAATTGCACTAGAACCAGACAGAAAAAGCAGAAATCAAAGAAAGAAACAAAGAAATAGAGAAACATAAGCAATCAAGAAGAAGCGAGATGAGTGACACAAGCCCGCTTGCCCGAAGTGTAATCCAAGGATACTTTAATTCAATAAAGGATCGATTTGCTCTCATACAATGTTAAAGAAGAGAGAAACTTTATTCAATAATAACAAAATATTACAAAGAGACTATATAAAGTGCGAAACCCACATGACATAATAGATCAAACTACCTTAATAAATAAACTAATTTACAACAGTGTCTAATAGACTCGCGATCTGGCAATATTCAAGGACACCTTTTATATTCTAAAGAATGATGGCAGACTTGGAAAATTGGAAATGGGCCATCTATCCACCATACTGTTTTTGCCCATTGATCTCAATTGCATAAGGCCTTGGTTCAGCCATTCTCTCAGTTTATAAGCTTGGCTCTGCCATTCTCTCTTTATACCAGCTACAAACAAACATCTTTTCTTGATTGATTTTGATACAAACTTGATTAGAAGAAGAATCATTGAATTAAAATACAGGGTTCAAGGACATCGTACTAAATGACAACTCAGATTTATAATCTTGTAACACGTTGAATCGAAAAAATTCAAATTTCAAATTCACCGAACTAACTTCTGGGATAGGGCACAGCATTGTTCGTCGAACTGAATTTATTAAATGCAAAAAGTCAAAATCACTAACAAACCTCGCACTAAATCGCATGCTAATAGTTTTTGGCATTAAATGTTCCTCTCTTACAAGGAATCAAATTGCCAAGAACGATGCATAAATTTCCAGTTCAATCAGTAATCTAGCCAACTAAACAATAAGGTAATGTTAGGATAAATGTGCAGCATTCGTGCTAGGCATTTGACAAAATTATTTCTTTTTAGTTTATCTCTCATATTCTTGTTCTTTGTTACTGATTCTACAACTAAACATTTTGTAATAATCACATACAAGTGTGCAAGTGAATACATGTGACTGCAATTATGAGTCTGAGATGGCATAAACAGCATGAGGTTTTCCCAGGCATGTTGCAATAATATTCTGTCTGAAGACTAGAAATTCCCGTGGGTTCTTCCACATTTCAGATGTCTCTGCCTGACCGTTTGGAATGTAAAAATTGCTATCTTTGTACTTGAGCTGAGATGAATCTTCAAGCCCTGTTTCACTTCAGAGTTGGAGCTTTGCTTCAATACTGCGATCAAATGTCCATAAAGACAAGCAGTGGATGATATGGTACACTTCGTCATATATTGAACAAAATTCAAACGCTAATCCACAACAACTTAGCATTACAAATTTGGAACATAATACAATCAACAAAAACATTTAGAACTTCATGTTGAACCTTACATATGATTTGTAATGTAATTCCACTATGTCTTTGTTCTTTGACCAGGTTGTAAGGATTTCATCTTCCTCGTGCTCCAATGCCTTTTATGCATGCTTCTTGTTGTTGTTGGCTCCTGTATTTTATCAAACAGTGTGTGCAATTCAAATAGCAATTCAAATATCAAAGCTATTCAATGCAAAGTTTATGTTTTACCTTACATGTTTTCTCATATGGGTTTATGAATTGAACTTTCATTGTTTTTATCACAAAACACACATTCGCACACATGAAATCTGGCTGCCATAGATTTCATATACTGTCTCAACTCTTCTTGAATTTGCTGTAAAAAGTACTCGTGGATCATAATTCCATTGAATTATTACTTTCTGATTAAAGGGTCATTGTCTTTCAGTTCATTTAACAACAATTCAGCAGCTTCTCTGGAATTAAATTTCAGTTTTCGCTTCTTCTTTTTATTTTTGCCAAAAATAGAATACTTTAATTCATTTCGTCAGTTTGACAATTTTTATTTTTACAATATAATTCATCTGAGTCTAGATGTGGTTGAACAATTTAGTTGACTTTCAGCCGATTAAATTCTTTCTTTTTTATCTCCTATTTATGGTTGTTTGAATTAGTGAAGTTAATTCTCTTTGTTTATTTTATGTGATTAATTATTAGTATTAGACGTCGTTCTATTGGAGTTTCGAGATGGAAGCAAAACATGTTTTTCCTTTGCGACTCTTATTATGAGAAAAATAGCGGAGCTTGGATTTGTATTTTTCCACTTCATCGAACTTTTCACCCACCTTATCCACTTGTCAAGCACGTCATTTTTTTTAGAGAATTTGTGAGAGCATCTCCACTGCATTCTTTAGATTGTTATCTAGATGACATATACTTAGAAAAGCTTTCAGTTTACGCAATATTAATGCCCGATAAATAGGTAGTTAGTTCAAATTTTCATCTTTATTGATCTTCACTCATAATTAAAATTTCAAGTTTGATGAGAAAAAAAGTGGGTTCAAAGTGAGAAAAGAGAAGAATTTGGTGAAGACACCTGCAAGTCCATGGTGGAGGAGGCTTAAAATAGGGAGGATTGCATACTGGTTATAATTCTTGCGTGGGTTGGGATTGCTCCAAAGGGTTTTGTTGATGTGCACATGATACTATTTGTCACTGCAGAATACCTCACTAGAGGCAGTGAGAGTGGAATTTTCACTCCTATGCATATGATTCTCCGCATAAAGCCCGAAATTAAGTCAAATTGAAATTTTGATGCTGTTGTTTTTGAATAAATCTCGTCGTTTATTTTTAAGTTTAATCTATGGTAGAAAATTTGAATTCTTGTTTTCTTTAATCTATTGTTAATCATGTTGCAGTCTTGGACTACCTTACTTGTTTTCAGTAATCTATTGTTAATCATGTCTGCTATATCTTCTCCTAATTCTCCTTCATATCATCCTCAACAACAAAGGAAGCAACAACTAATGCAACAAACTTCATCTTCTCAGTCGCATCAATAACAAATGGGACATTCACAGGTGAATCAGCAACAGCAGCAGCAGCAGCAGAAGAAACAGTCCCCAAGAATGGTGGCCCCCGGAGGCTAAAAATCATTAAGTTTGACTGCATCACAGCCAGATACTACTGCATCCAGAAGTACTTCTCCAGGGGGAAGTTCGAGCCAAGGAACATAAGCGAGCAATCAACTCACTGGAAAGTCATCATACAATGCACGAAATTCGCAGACTAATCAAGTGCAAATTTGGACTTACAGGATTGGAATGATAGAAACATAATTTAATATTTTCTTATATGATTAATACTTTATGAGTATATTAAGGCCATATATTGTAGCTTCTAATAGTTAATGCATTTCTTAGAAACTAGAAAGAAAGTGTTTGTTTAGAAAGATAACACTCTTCACATTCTATGATAAAATTTAAAATATTGCATCTAATGCCCATTCCTAGAAGAAAATGTGCAAATCAACTCTTGAGAAGTTCTCTGGCCAATTCAGATTTCCCAGTTCAGGTTGTTGCTGATAGGCGCCTGGTTTTCCTTCACGAGTTGCTGTCGACTGGCCATTGCATTCTGTTGTGGGGCAGAATGGAACATGCCCGGAAGCTGCATATGAGAAGATTGCGCAGTAGCAACAAGCATGACCACTGTGAGATGGCAAATAAGCAGCATGAGGTGTTTGCCCAGGCATGTTGTAGTAAGATTCTGGCTGCAGACTTGAAAGATCCTGTGGGTTTCATCCACATATCTCTGCCTGACCTTTTGGGACATTAAGATTGCTATTTTTGTACTTAAGCCGAGATTAATTTTCATGCCCTGTTTCACTTCACAGTTGGAGCTTTGCTTCCATATTGCGATGAAATGTGCAGAAAGACAAGCATGGGACATCGTGCAATTTGTCATGTAGTACACGAAATTGGCATGCTTATCAACTACTAATTTAGCATTACAAATTTGGAAAAGAATAGAAACAGCAGAAAAATTTGGAACTTCATGTGTACCTTGGATATGATCTGTAATGTATTTCCAATTTCTTTCACAATTTTTTTGTCCAGTTCGTAAGGAGTTCATCTTCCTTGTCATTCCAATGCGTTTTATTGAACATGTGCTTCTTCTTGTTGTTGGCTCCACAATTTTATCTGTTGTGGTTTGACCCAATTCTAGTGGGTATTGAAGTCTAAATTGGAGTGGTCTTGAAGAAATCAAAATTATGGACAGAAGGAAAAAGTCGTCGCATTTTCACTAGCTTGGCGCTAGCTGGACACTCAAGCGAGCCCGGTAGAAAACAACCCTAGACTTGGTTGCTCACCTAGAGTCCCTATCGCTCAAGCGACAGGCTTATCCGGTCTAGACCCTTTTTCGTTTTTTGATGCAATTTTGGACTCCTATTCTTCTACAACTTGTTCTCTAGGATTTATATATGTAGCACGACTTGTATAGAATAACACAGCGGAACATAACAGAGAGAGATTCATATAACATCTTGAGAGTTTTAGATTTCAATTAAGTGCATTCAGATCTTGCAAACACAAGTGCTATTGATTATAGTGGATTTCTCTTCCTTTGCCTATGGTTTTTTCTCATATTGGGTTTCCACGTAAATTTTGGTGTTTATTTTCTTCTTGTTTATTTTCATTATCGTCATTATCACTCGATCCAAATTCATAACAATTGATATCAGAGGGTATCTTGTTTGTTCCATAACATTATCAAACAGTCGTGTGAAATTCAAATTTCTATTCTGTCCAATGCATAAGTTTTTATCTAAGCTTACATCTTTTCCCATTATGTGTTCATGCTACTTATTATCAGAGTTTTGGCAACTGTTTTGGCCACACGCTGTGGCTTTAATTAATCAATGAACATGTTACGAAACATGGGAGTTTGCTTTTACTCTATCAACATGGAGAAAGCCTGAAATAGGAGAAGAAGTAAATAACGAAAATGCAAATTCCGATATCCTTTCGACATTTCGATACCAACTTAAGCATGTAAAAAAAAGGTGTCAAAAGCATGTGACCTTTCATCAAGTCAATCTGATAACAGATATAACAATCAAACAATAAAATACCAAGCAATTATTCATAACTTACAACTAGACTGAGAAATTATAAGCAACAAATCAATTACTACATTGATTGATTATCCCTTCTTGCCTCAGAGTTATGCATATGTTTCTCATGCTTTCCAACAAATACTAGCAAATATTCATATATTTGGATAAATAATGGAAAAAATAGAGAGTTCAAGGACATTCTTACTAAATGACAACTCAAATTTTATAAATTTCGTATTGAATAGAAAAAATTGAAATTTCAAATTCATCAAACTAACTTGTCGGGATAAGAAACAGCATTGTTTGTCAAACTGAACTTATTAATTGTAGAAAGTTGAAATTCACTAACCAACCAACAATTGCACTAAAATTGCACGTTAATAATTTTTGCTTTATACTTTCGTCTCTCATGAGAAATCAAATCTTCAAGTGCAATCAGTAGTCTAGCCAGCAATAAATAACGTATCTTATGATAAATGTGCAGCATTCGTGCTAAGCATGTGACAAAGTTATTTCTTTTTCGTTATTTCTCATATTTTTGTTCTTCTGTTACAGATTCTACAACTAAAATCTTTGTAATAATCACATACAAGTGTTCTAGTGACGGCAATTTTGAGGGTGAGATGGCATGAGAAGCATGAGGTGTTTGCCCAGGCATGTTGCAATAATATTCTGGCTGAAGACTAGAAATATCCCGTGGGTTCTTCCACATTTCAGATGTCTTTGCCTGACCGTTTGGAATGTAAAATTTGCTATCTTTATACTTAAGCCAAGATGAATCTTCGTGCCCTGTCACACTTCAGAATTGGATATTTGCTTCAATACCGCAATCAAATGTTCATAAAGGCAAGCATTGAATGATATGATGCGCTTCGTCATATATTGCACAAAATTCACACGCCAATTTACAACAAATTTAGCATTACAAATTTGGAACATAATAGAGTCTACAAAAACATTTAGAACTTCATGTTGAACCTTATATATGATTTGTAATGTAATTCCACCATGTTTTCAACCAGTTTGTAGGATTTCATCTTCTTTGGGCATCCAATGCGTTTATGCGTGCTTCTTCATGTTGTTGGTTCCACTACTTCATCAGACAGTGTGAAATTTAAATATCAAATCTATTCAAAGCAAAATTTCTGTTTTACCTTACATCCTCATTATGTGTTCATGAATTAGACTTTCATTGTTTCGAGCACAAAGCACACACTAATGCACATGAAATCTGGCTGCCACAGATTTCGTATACTATTTTAACTCTTCTTGGCTTTGCTATAGAAAGTACTTGTGGATCACAATGCCATTGAATTATTACTTTCTGATTAAAGGGTCGTTGTTTTTCAGTTCATTTCACAACAATTTAGCAGCTTCTCTAGAATTAAATTTCGGGATTTCGCCTCTTTTTTTAATTTTTTGCCAAAAATAGAATACATTAATTTGTTTCTTCAATTTGAGCTTTTTTTTTAATATAATTCATCTGAATCTAGATGTGGTAGTACAATATAGTAGGACTTTCAACCGATTAATATTTTCTTGTTTTATCTCCTATTTGTTGTTGTTTGGATTATTGACGTTAATTTGTTTTGTTTATTTTATGTCTTTAATTGTTAGACTTTATTTCATTGGAGAATTCCAGATGAGATCAATTCATGTTTTTCCTTTGCAACTTTTCTTATCTGAAAAATAGTGGAGCTCGGAGTTGAACGAACTATCAAGAAATGCAAAGACAAATTAGAGAACTTGTACAAGAACCACAAGAGAACAAAAGAAGGCTGGGCGGCGAAACCAGTTGATAAGACTTATCGGTTTTTGGATCAATTAGAGGCTTTGGAAAGCAATGCTCCACAGCCAGTATTAGCGCAGCATCAGCCACTGAGCATGGTGGTGCCACCTTCAATGCCAGGGAATACGAATCCACCAATACTAGCCGTTTCAATATCAAGTCCAAATCCTGTAAATTTGTCACAAAGTGCTGCTGCTGCCCAATATGCAAATAATTCAACAACTTTATTTGAGTCAAACATGAAACTTGCACGAATACTTCACTTATCCAACACGTGCAATTCACATAGGGAAGGAGAGAATTCAACAAACAAGGAAACTCTAAGTACAAGGTTGATTAAAAGATATAATGAAAAAGCACAATGATCACTTTGGCTTCAATTAATAAATGAACAATGTTATGAAACTTGAGAGCTTAGCTCTTAGACTATCAAAATGTAGAAAGCCTGAAATAGGAAAAATTAGTAAATACAAAAATCCAAAATTACTAAATCCTTTAAACATTTTTTTACCAATTTAAGCTTGTAAAAATATGTTGTTAAAAGCCTGTGATCTTTCATCGAGTCAATTTGATAACAAATATAACAACCAGACAAGAAACTACCAAGCAATTATCATCACTTACAGATAGACACTGAGCAATCAACTGCTAAGTTTATTGATTGGTTATCCTTTCTTGCCTCAAGAGTTATGCATACTTTTCTCATGATTTCCAACGAACACTAGCCGGTAACAGTACATATCATCAATCTTGGCTGCAGTGCTACCTCAGTATAAAAACAGTGTTTCTGTCAGCAGATTACCTTGCCTCTGATGCTGTTGCTTCTGGATATGTATTTCTATCATATTTTGCAATCATTTTAGGTGGTATAAAGATACATTAATCTCTTCATGTCCTTTCTCAGAGTTGGAGCTTTGCTTCAATATTGCGATCAAATGTGCAGAAAGACAAGCATGAGATGATATTGTGCGCTTCATCATGTATAAAAGAAATTGGCACGCTAATCAACAAATAATTTAGCATTACAAACATGGAACAGAATAGAAACAACAGAAACATTTAGAACTTCAAGTTGATCTTTGGATATGATCTTTGGCCAGTTTGTAAGGAGTTTATCTTCCTTCGTCATTTCAATGCCCTTTATTGATCGTGTGCTTCTTCTTGTTGTTGGCTCTACAACTTTATCAAACAGTTGTGTTCAATTCAAATATCTAAGCTATTCAATGCATAAGTTTCTATCTAACCTTACATCTTTTCCCATTATGTGTTCCCACTACTTACTATCACAGAGTTTTGGCCACACATTGTGGCTTTAATTAATCGATGAACAATGTTACGAAACTCGAGAGTTTCTTTTAGTCTATCAACATGGAGAAAGCCTGAAATAGGAAAAGAGGTAAATAACAAAAATCCAAATACCAATATGTCCATTTGACATTTCGATACCAACTTAAGCTTGATAAAATATGGTGTTAAAAGCTTGTGACCTTTCATCAAGTCAATCTGATAAAAGATATAGCAACCCACCAATAAAGTACTAAGCAATTATTCTTTAGTTACAAATAGACACTGAGCAATTATAAGGAACAAATCAACTACTAATTTTATTGATTGGTTATCCTTTCTTGCCTCAGAGTTATGGATACATTTCTCATGCTTTCCAACAGACACTAGCAGGTATTAGTACTTTTGGAAAAATAATCGAAAAAAGAGGAAAGACAATCAACAAGACATGTTGTGTCCCAATTCAATTGTAATTGTCCTTGGATAAAATATTATTATGTATTTAACTTACCTTATGCAGTTCTAGCTTAGGTGTATAAATTAAGGCATTGTACATCAAAGAATAATACAAGAGAGAGACTATTTTCTCCTCCAAATATGGTATTTATTGCGCATATGGTAGCGGATCGCAGTAAATTCAAATAAGCAATTCGATCCCGTTATTACTCAAAGGAGCACCTGAATTCCAAGATTGGTAAATTCTCAAACGAGTCACCATCTTATGGAGGCATAAATCTAACGTCAATTAAATGCCGACATATGGACCAACATATAAGGACTGAGGCTATTCCTCTTAACAAGGTTGATATTTTAAGACGGAACCCGAATCTTAATAGTACGCACCATCAATCTTTGGCTGTAGTGCTACCTCAGTACAAAAACAGTGTTTCTATCAGCACATTACCTTCTGTCTGCTGCTGCTACTTCTGGATGTCGTGCCTTTGGAAGTACAACCACGGGGTCTGAACACTTCCTTATGAATCTTCCCTCTTCCCCTTTTGGGACGAACTGGAGTAACTATGATGTTTTGAGTAGTCATTGATCTCTCTTGAGTTATAATTTTTTTTAATTCTGATGCGGCTGGATCTTGTGGGCTACTTTGAATGCAGTGTTGTTTGTAAGTCATGGAGATCTGTCTCTCTTACACATAGAAACTTCTTCATGGAAGCTCAACACCCTCTTCTCCTTATCGTATAGCCAATAGCTAAGAAAACGTGTACTTTCCAAAATGTATTTGATAGGATCAGGTTCAGAGTGAGGATGGATGATATGGCTAAAAAGACATTTGGTGGATGTTCCAGTGTGTATTTACTCATGCACAACAAAATATGAAAAATACTATTCGAAAAATACAAAACTTTTCAGACATAAGGTTGACTAACTCTTCACTATCAAGTAAAATTAAAAATTTTGAAATGCTGCTGAAACAATATCAGTAGTCAATCAAGATTGCACCATTTGATTAGCTGAGAATGATGGAATGTTGTTTAAGTTGATTAATGAGCTACTTAATTTTTTATTTTTATTTTTTTTGTCGTTTTTCTTTGATTAGCTTATTTTTGATAGCTGGGATTAATGGAATGGTGTTTTAAATTGATTAATGAGCTGTGATTAGCTTATTTGAGGTTACTTATCCTTGAGTAACTTATTTTGAATTTGCATTTCTTTTATGTCGATAAATAATGGAATGGTCTTTAAGTTGATTAATGAGCGATTATTAGCTGCTTTCTGTGATTAGCTTATTTTTGAGTTTCATTTTGTGATTATTAGTTTTTGAAAGGGAAAGTTGCTAATGGGGGAATTATTCTTTTCTTTACATGCTTTAGCTCAAAAAGATTTTTAAGTAGGCACTTTACTGTTCTTATGAAATAAATTTTTTAAAGTTATTTGCATTTTTTTTTTAAATGATCTTCTTGTTGTGGCTGAATCATGATAGAAAATTAAGTACTGATGCTAAGAAAATATCACAAGTTGTTGAACTAGCATGTCTTGTTTCCTAACATAGAGCCTTTGGAATGGTTGCCTGTGCACATAACATGTGATCTGGCACGCACTTTCCACACATATTGCACTTGTATATATAAAATATATTAAAATTATTATTTTGACAAGATTAATACTTTATTAATATGATGAGGCCATATACTATCACTTCCAATAGATGGAGCTTTTTTTTTTTGTCAACATGACTTGATGTACAAATTAGAAACTAACACGCTTCTAGCACGTAATACACTAGGCGATGTGTCACTTTTTTTTTTTCTTCTCTTCAACTAACTGACACATGGTCGACACATCTCAACATGCCATGGTAAGATCTCCAACGTGCCCGAGTGGTGAACAATAACCAAAAAAATTAGTATAAAACAACCATTAATCCCCATTTACGATGTTAGTTATGATGAGAATGACGGTTTATTTTTTCATCTCCTTCCTTTCGGCACTATTCTTCTTTTGCCGGCATTGTCTTCTATCTCCTCGGCTGCACTGAATGTTCTCCCTCAAAAGCAAACCTTAGTTTTTCTTTTAAGTTCTTAGAAATTGTACCATGTAGATGAGCAGGATCCAGGGGATTGAGGGAGGTGATGCACTACCAGGTCTCAGGAGTTACAAGGGTATTGCATAGGCTGCGAGAAAAATGGGTTTCATACTGGAGGAATCACATATTAGTCACAATTCTTGCATGGGTTGGGATTACTCAAAAGGGTGTTGTTGATGTGCACGAGAAGCTTTTTATCACTGCAAATTACCTCAATAGAGGCGGTGAGAGGGGAATTTCCACTCTCAACAAAAAGCCCAACGTTGAGTCAGATTGATATTTTGTTGCTGCTGTTTCTTTTTGTTGCTTACTTATAGTTTTGTCATTTTCTATCTTCTTTAAAGTTTAATCTGTGGTATAATATTTGGATTCTTGTTTTCCTTAAATATATTTTTAATCATGTTGCAGTCTTGGACTGCCTTGCTAGTTTTCCTCAAATCTATTTTTAATCATGTCTGCTATATCTTAGGTCCTACGATATGTGGGAATAGTAATTATTGATTAATGTTGTAAATGTAATGTTAAAATTACTATTTAACTTTGACTTTAAATTATAGGGAAATTGTAAAGAAATCCAAAAATGCAATTAAACGGGAGAGAAAATAATAGTAAATAAAATTCAGAAAAAAATAAGAAGGAAGAGAGAGAGAGAGAGAGCTAAAAAAAAAGAAAGAATAATGAGACATGCCAAATCTGACCAATTAATGATGCCTAAGGGTAATAATCCAAGCAGGATGGTGTGCATTTGGTACAAGTCAAAACAACCCAATAATTTGTCACGGTCATTTTTTATTGCCTATTCTTTCGGGCTTACAAGCACACTGGGCGCCTTCCTCTTACTAGCAATTTGTTCCCTAATTATGCTCTGATTTCGATGGACTGATCTAGCGGCTGAATCATGATACAAAATTTCACAAATGCTGCTGGAACTAGATCAAAGGTCATTAAATTAGCTTTTAGTTTGTAATGACCCGACCTCGTTCCGGAGCCGTTATCATATCATACGTGTTGTCCGCTTTGGGTGAGCCTAGGCCCATCTTACCTTTCACGGCTTTCTGACACGTCACCCAAGATTCGAACTCAAGACCTCCATCATATTGGAAACTTTCAACTATAAGATTGGCTAACTCTTCATTATTAAATAAAAATAAAAATTTTGAAATGCCGCTGAAACAGTATCATTAGTAGTCAATGAACCCGCAATATCTTGTTGCCTATTTGAGTGTGTGGAATGGATAAGTTGCATGTGCACATTACGTGTGGTTTGGCACGCACGTAGGCGCTATAACATGACTAATACTTATAAAGTATGTTGAGGCCATATGTTATTGCTTCCAAAATGTTGGAGCTTTAACGTTTCAATATTGTGATGTGAAGAAAAACAAACATGATTTGATGTATTATTTGTGTGCATTAATGTTATAGTTCCCTTCAGAAACTACATGTACAGGACTTAGCGGTACGTCATTCATGAATTCTTAATTATCCAAACTGGCTCATAATGAAAAACCACCTACGTCCGCTATATCTTCTCCTAATTATCATCCATATTGTCCTCTGCAATGAAGGCATCTACAAATAATGAAAGACAACTAGCTTCATCTTCTCAGTTGAAGAAGGCAGCCGTCATTGTCTTCTATCTCCTCATTTGCACTTAATCTTCTCCATCAAAAGCAAACCTTAGTTTTTCATTTAAGATCTTAGGAATTGTACCGAGGGGATGTGCCGGAGCATGTGGAAGTGATCCAGGGGATTGAGAGAGGTGATGCACTACCAAGGCTGAGGAGTTACAAGGATATTGCATAGGCTGCGAAAAAAATGGGGTTTGAAGTGATAAAAGTGAAAGATTTTGCGAAGGCACCTGCATATCCATGGTGGGGCAGGCTTAAAATGGGGAGGATTGCATATTAGTTACAATTCTTGCTTGGGTTGGGATTGTTCCAAAGGGTGTAGTTGATGTGCACAAGATGCTTTTTGTCTCTGCAGATTACCTCACTAGAGGAGGTGAGAGTGGAATTTTCACTCCTATGCATGTGATTCTCTACCGAAAGCCCAAAATTAAGTCAGACTGATATCTTGGTGCTGTTGTTTCAACTTGTTGCTGGTTGGAATAGTTTTCATCATTTTTGTTCTTCTTTAAAGTTTAATCTATGGTAGAAAATCAGGATTCTTTTTTCCTTAATCTATTGTTAATCGTGTTGCAGTATTGGGTAGCCTTACTTATTTTCCTTAATTTATTGTTAATCATGTCTGCTATATCTTCTCCTAATTCTTCTTCATATCGTCCTCAACAACAAATGCAGCAACAACTAATGCAAGAACAAATTGGACATTCACAGGTGAATCAGCAGCAGCAGCAGCAGCAGCAGCAGCAGCAGAGAAGTCCCCAAGAATGGTGGCCCCCGGGGGCTAAAAATCCTTAAGTTTGACTGCATCACAGCAAGATACTACTGCATCCAGAAGTACTTCTCCAGGGGGAAGTTCAAGCCAAGGAGCATAAGCAAGCAATCAACTCACTGGAAAGTCATCATGCAATGCACGAAATTCGCATACTAACCAAGTGCAAATTTAGACTTGCAGGATTGGGATGATAGAAACATAATTTAATATTTTCTAATATGATTAATACTTTATGAGTCTTACAGGGCCATATATTGTAGCTTCCAATAGTTAATGCATTTCCTAGATACTAGAAAGAAGAAACTGTTTGTTTAGGAATATATTATGCTTCAATATTATAAAAAAATTTCAAATATTGCATCTAATGCAATTCCTAGGAGAAAATGGTGCAAATCAACTCTTCAGAAGTTCCCTGGCCAATTCAAATTTCCCAGTTCAGATTGCTGCTGATAGGCGCCTGGTTTTACTTCGTGAGCTGCTGTTGGCTGGCCATTGCATTCGGCTGTGGTGGAGAATGGTACATGCCTAGAAAATGCATTTGAGAAGATTGTGCAGCAGAAGCAAGCACGACTCCTTTGAGATGGCAAATAAGCAGCATTACGTATTTGCCCAGGCATGTTGTCATAAGATTCTGGCAGCAAACTAGAAAGATCCTGTGGGTGTTGGAAATTCGAAATTGGTTGTGGCCAATTTAAGTGATTATTTAAGTAGAATTCTTTTTTTGCTGAATGAGAAATTAAGCCTAATAAACACATGAAAATGTTGGAAAATCATGTAGAATATTGTGGAATATTCTAGAAAAATGTGTATATGAAAAGATGTGTTTTTTCACATGAAAGCTCACAACCTTTGGAGATTATGACTTTTGATATGATTACTTTCCAATAATTATGAATCTTAATTTCAAGATATGTGTCTCTTGGTATAGTTGTGTCTTTTGACAAACATTTCCAACTACTATATACAGATCCCCATGTGTTTGGATTCATAAAGTTCAAAGTGATAGTTCCCATATCATTCCATTCCATGTTTACAATTTAGGTTACATAAAATACTTGCATCAAAATCATGGTTATGGTAGAGAGAGAATTCCGTTCGAGTTTGTTGGTCGAAGCCATTTGGAGTGCTCCTAGGGCATGACTTGGTCGTTGTATCTTGGGAGATGATTGCTAGAAACCGTTAACACCAATGCGGGGCAAATTCATCTTAAGAACAAAATGTTAAACTCTTGCCTCGACCGATCGCATCACTTACATCTCCTCTTTCTTCTTTTTGAATTCATTCCAATTTAGAATTCTGATTTTAGAAAGTAATCAATACTATTTTGATTTCATGCAAGGTTTGAATTGAAGAACAACATGCGTTCACTCATATTGGGAAGTGACGAATCCATACTATTATATTCGAAGTATCCATTTATGGCAAAATTTCAATTCAGTAAGGCGTGCCCACGCCTTAAGTAAGAACTTATGACAGAATTTCAATTCAGTAAGGCGTGTCCACGCTTAAGTAAAATTCACTAATACAGTATCTATTCTGTATATCCGGTACACAATTAGTGAAGCTTGTCCAATAATGTCCATCGACATGTGTTTGACTTCAATAATTATTGCTTGTCTTCTCAAATCCCATTTTGGTAAGTCGAATTCTATTCCGATTTACATCAAAGAATAATACAGGAGAGATTATTTCTTGCTCCAAATGTGTCTTTATTATGCATATGGTACCAGATCCCACTAAATTCAAATTGGCAGTTCGATCCACTTAAGACTCAAACGAGCACATGGATTCGAGATTGTTCTGTTGAAACGAGCCACCATCTTACAGGGCACAAATCCCATATTGATTAAATACTGACATATATACCAACATATAAGACATTGGGCTGCTCTTCTTAACAATGTTGATATTTGAAGATGGAACCCAAGTCTTAATAGTACGCATCATCAATCTTTGACTGTAGTGCTACCTCAGTATAAAAACAGTATTTCTATCAGTTGATTACTTTCTTTCTGCTTCTTCATATCGCGCCTTTAGAGGTACAACCATGGGGCCTGAACATTTCCTAATGAATCTTCCCTCTGCCTCTTTTGGGACGAACTTGAGTTGCTATGATGTCTTGAGTAGCCACTTCGCTTGATCTCTCTTTAGCAGGTACGTCATTTGACTAATATCTTGACAAATTAAAGGTATAAAGTGCCATAGAATGTTAGAGATAGACGCGTGGGAAGGTCCGAAAAGCTCTCAATTTATTGATTTGACATTTTGAAAACCTTTTCCTCTCACCCTCTCCGAATCTTGCAAGAGATCCAGGCCTGAAGGAGGTGATGGGGAAGTTGCTGGTTCAACCAAACTAAGAGAGTCCCGCAGCCTCCCGAACCTCCTTATTATCTTGACCTCGGGGCGAAATAATAACTCATATTTTAACCTCGCCTTGCACAAAAAAAAAAAATAATAATAATAATAATAATAATAATAAATTTCAAACCCCTCTTGGATTTGAAATTTTAACACGTGTAAATGACAACTTAGATTTTGTAAACCTTGTCGATCGCGAAAATGAAAATTTTCAAAATTCAAATTCATCATTTGAGATGTGCAATCAGAGGACAGCGTTGTTCGTCGAATTAGAATTTAATAAAGCTAGGTATAAAAGTTAAAATTTACTAACAAACCCACTAAGACTACATTGAAGCCAAATACAGCACACATAAAATTTGCTTCATTATGGACATTCTTCCTGAATGACAACTCGGGTTCTATAAACCTCATCATTCATCAACTAACTTGTGGGAAGGGGACAGCTTTGTTTGTCAAACTGGAATTTAATTAAGGTTAAACAGTTAAAATTCACTAACAAACCAGAAATCATACTAAATAGCATGTTAAGAATTTTTGGCTTTATACTTCCTTCTAGGCCTGGGCCCCGAACCCAAATCGAACCAGAACGGAGGTTCTGTTTGCTTCTGTTTCTTGCTGCGTCATGGTATACGATTGATTATGATTAGTCTAGCCAACTAAAAACAAGATTATCTATGTTAAATTTGCAGCATTCGTGCTAAGAACGTGACATTTATTTCTTTTTTCCTGTCTTATATATTTCTTCTTTGGTAAGGATTCTACCACTAAAAATTTTATAATAATCACATAATATTCTGGTGAACAATGCCAATTTTATGACTATGTTGCATTGAAGCAATATTTTGTTCACACTCTCGACTTTGTAGAGAACGAACTGGCTATTGTCAGCATTCTAGAAATGAAAGTATTGAATCAAAAGAACAAACATTGGACATAAATGTGTGCAAGTATACATGACAGCAATTATTATATTTTTTTTCCCTCTAGAAACTACAGGTTCAGAACTATGCGAGTGCTTATGGATCATAAAATATCTGTACTGGCTCAGAATTAAAAACAAACTATGATAAAGAGCACTTTGTCGCGAAAGCAGTGACTAAAACAAATGCCTGCTATATCTTCTCTTTTAATTCTCCTTCATATCATCCTCAACAACGAACGCAACAACACCTAGCTTCGTCTTCTCAGTTGCGTAAATTTTATGGGATCAAACCCACAACAGTTCTTCCAAACGGGACGTCCACAATTGAATCAGCAGAAACAACAGCAACAGCAGAGAAGCAGCCATTGCAGCAGTGACAACAGCTTTTGCATTGGCCAAAGCATCAGCCAGATACTACTGCGTCTGTAATACTACTTCAAGGGACAGAAGCGAGCAATCGACTCCTTGGAAAGTCGTCGTACAATGCACGAAATTCACTCACTAACCGACTGCAAAATTTGTGAACAGAAAGAACGCTATAAATAGTATTGGACCATGCTTTCTAAGCATTTATGTTATGCTTCCATCTTCATCATGCATCCAACACCGTCTTGCTATCGGCTTCACTACCAAAAAAAAAAATTCTCTTTTTTACAACTCCTTTGTACGTAAATATAACACATTATGTACAAGTAGCATTATTCGAGGGAGAATATTGCTCCCACCTAAGGGAGAGAAGTATTGCATGCACATTACATGTATAGTTACACGAATCTCATCAGGGTGTCTACGATTGTGTTTGATCTACATTTCATTCCCAGAACCATTTCTTATTTCTAGACATTCCATTATAGAAACCATTCTTCAAATTATTAATTCTGACAACTAATAAAGAAGATACAGAGAAATTCGAAGTTACAAATCAAGTAAGATGATGAAATTCCAGTGCCACAATCTTGTGTATTTGTGTTGCATAAATGAGGGGAACCATATTAAAATCACATTAACTGATGTTTAACCTCACATTTGCTCAGCTGTTTATCCTCATAACACAGTAATACTTCTTTTTCCTTTTTACAGTAATTACTTCATTTGAGTCCACTATTATAAATGAAAAAAGGGTGCTTGCTTTTAACATTTGTTTTATGATGTGATAAAGAAAACGGGACAAGAAAGAAATACTCCAGGGAGAGTATTTTTTTTTTTTTTTAAATATCCAACCTCAGATCGAGAAAATCAATCTTTTTTTACAAGAAAAAAATATGTTCAAGTGCATCATTCGTGCAAAACACGACAGATTTATTTATTTTTCATATATTTCTAATATGTTCTTTCTTTTCGTATAACTCAGTGTCCAGAAAAATGAACATACATCCACTAGGTCTTAGATCATAAAATCTGGTAACCTGTAAAAACTCATTTGAAGTGCCATGCCAATAAAGAGTTAAAACAGACCAACTCTGAAAGCAATTTGATAGAATAACAATTCCTCTGTATCTATTTCCATCTGCACCAGTCATTTCACTACCATACAGGATAATCTCTCTATAATGCGTCCATCTCTATTTACAAAAAGATCAAGAAGAGGTAATTACAGATTAGGGTACCAGTGAAATTGGAACTCGTCTACCTCACAATTACTTCCCATCTTGCATGCAGCAATAGAGAAATAAGAACCTCCCAAATTACACATCGTCATTGAATTCAGCCAAATCATAGCGTAGATTTAATGGACAATTCTTCTGCTGCATAATAGGCATGATGGGGCAATTTTGGATGATTCATCTGCACATGGTTGAGCTGCAGAATGGGATCAAGATTCTTTTGCACGTTTGGGACTTCTATAGAATGGTTCTCGTGGGCGATCTAATAGGTGTTTGAGATTTGAATTGAGGTATTTCAAGCCAGGGATCAAGTGTATTCCTTGTGGTTGGCCTTACTGGAAATACCAAGTGGTCGCCATAATTACTACTACTCTGCCCCACAAAAGGATACGAAGGGCTTGGAGGAGAAATGAAACAACTCTTATGTGCTGGTCCATAATGTCTTAATGGACTTGAGGAGGGAGATACAGGCAGCGATGTTATTGTTCTTGCACTTTCCCTGCATACCCCAAACAAGAAAGCAACAGTTACTTTACGGTACTTAGTTTAGCAAGATGAATTAGAGATATAAATGTATCAGACAGATGTCTCCAGGTATTGTGTCAGTACCTTGGGCTTACAAATGTCCTTGGTAATGGTGATCTTGATGCATCATCTCTATCGAACGAAAAGTTAATCAATCTGCTGGACTGCATCTCCAGGGCCGTCTGCCATGATATACAAAATGGGTAACTTATGCAAAAGGCAGAAAGATTATTAGCTATGACTAAATGTATAACAGCATGCAAGTTGTCTTCAGCACAATGGAAATTATTGACAAAGACATTCATTGCTAACCATGAAGATCTGAACCACACAACTCTTATAAATGTTTCTCAATTCAATGGAGTAGCCAATATCTTCAAAATCATGTCTTGGACCGTTGGACGAGAAAAGGGATTTTGGACCAACTTGTCAAGGAAATACTGAAGGGAAAAATTTATACAAGCATTTGCAGGATTAATATTAAGATAACTCCGGATAAGAAAAAGGCCTGCAACACGCAAATGTTCCCAAATTGAAACTAAATTATCATGAAACATCAGAAGTTTATACCATAAAACTTAAAATCCGATAATGTTTGCTGCCTATTCTGATTGATCTTGGGAGTTAAATCTGATATGCAGACAGAATGACCTTGTAAAAGTTTAAAAGAAAAGGGTAACACTGATTAATTAATTGATTAAACTGATAAACTAGATAAACTACACCAGAAGAATCCAATCTGATTCTAATCAATTTTTCTCCTGGAACACAACAATTGGCATGGGGGGCATGCACTATGATTATAATTATAACTAGATGTAGCAAAGGCCAAATTTGCAAGGCTAGAATATAAATATCATTAGTCAGCAAAGATACGGAGATGTTCTAACATTTCCTAGTTACGGCAAGTGAATCATGATATTTTATTATCTTTTCCATAAAATTCTACCTAATTTATGTTATATTGCATTTTGTAGGTAAAAAGTTAATGTTTAATGACGAATTGAAGAAAAGAATGCAAAAGTGTGGAAAAATGGCAAAATCCAAAGATGAAACCTTGGAGCGAAATGAGCCAACAGGAGCAATAGGAAAACTAGCCATTGAATTACAAGCCACATCAGGGAGTCTTTTTTTCACATTCTTTCCCACTCCTTTATATACGGATTTAAGATTAAAGACATTGAGGACAACGTCTAATTTAAGTTTAGGGGAGGAAAACATGAATTTTCATTTATTTTTATTTTTTTGTGTTTTTATTGCTTCAGTAAAAAAAATTTTGAAAAAAAGAGGAAAAAAATAATATAATAAAAATATTTTTTTTTTATGTGCTTGTGTGAGTTAGTTGGCCAAGCTAGCAATGATGAATATATTGAATCATGAAATGATCCATAAATGGTGAATAAGTTACATGCTCAGATTAATTTTGTTTTTCCAAGTGAAATTTCAATATATATGGAGCACATGAATTAAGTTAAACAATGTGTATGAATGAGCTGATTTCATAATTGGATAGGTTGAAACGGTGGACCATAGATGTTAAACCCAAAACCACTAAATTTTACATTCTTGGACCAAATTTAGAATAGTTTGGGGGGATTTCACTGTTGTAGGAAGATGTTGAGATAAATAGGGATTTCATGTGTGAAATTAAAATCTTGTGTGGATTGTCCAAGGTCAATATGATGCAATTGGGTGAAAATCTTAAGTTAGATGTCGTTTTACTTAATTTGGTGTTAAATGAGAGACATTGTACTAATCAAGGCATAAAAAAGAATTTATTAGAAAATTTCTCTTCGTAGCCTTTACGACTTGAGCAATTACTGCAAGGGTCTTTAAAACTTTGTGTCATATGGTCATCTGACTTGGGAGTCATCTGCCGAAAGTTTGTTACATGGGTCATTTGAAAAGGTTAAGGAAGAGAATGTTTCAAATAAAGAAAAAAATTACTCATATGAAAAAAAATCCGAAAAAGCAAGTGCATGAAACAGAAGACGCACCAAATGCTTTGGTTAAGTCTCAAACACCTGTTTAAGAAAATTTGACTTTTGATAAGAGATTGTTAGCCTAGTTAAGTCCCAGAGATTGAAGCAATCAAATTTAATGGAGAATCCTTGTTTATTGAAATGTTGAACTGCAATTGGTGAAATTTTGTCAAACTAGAAAGGTGAGGATAGTAAAAAATAAATACAACATTAGTTCACACACTGGAAAAGAGTGAAAAGAATAAGTTTGGGGGGTGTGAATCTTACGAGTGATGAAAGAACATATTTGACCATTGAGGGTCAGGAATTGAAACAACTTATGAATTCAAAATGTTATATTTAAGTCCTTGCACACGTCAATTTTATATTGGAAAAGTGGATTTTAATTTCTGTATTGTGATTTTGAAGCTGTACATAGATTTGTTATTATGATTTCAATCCTACGATAAAAAGCCAGGTTAACTAGCTAAATTTTGTTGCTTTACTTGATTGACTAGCCATCAATTAGGTAATTAGCATTGCTTGTTTGTGTGTTTGTTATGTTTTAATTTTGTTTGAGGACAAACAAAGATTCAAATTTGGTAGTGTGATAAGTGTAGTTTCAGCACTTATTCGAGGGCCTAAATCATGATATTTTATTATTTTCTCGATAAAATTCTACCTAATTATGTTATATTGTGTTTTGTAGGTAAGAAGTTAATGTTTAATGAAAAATTGGAGAAAAGAATTAAGGTGATCAAAATGAAATTGTTATGCCCTAATATTCATCACATATTTGAATTTTCAATCATCCATTGTTTGCAATCTTTTTATATTTTCAATTAGTTAAAAGTAATTTTAAAAAAATAATCACAGCTATCATAATTATTTACTCGCTTTTGTCAAATAGGAGTTAGAAAAATTAGATTAAGTACTAAAGTATAGTCTTTGTGAGAACGATATCCGGACTCGAAGATTCACTATATTACTTGTTACGATATCGTACACTTGCGATATAAAAAACGCAACACCAAGCCAAAAAAAAAAAAAATACAAATATAAAATATCTTCCCGCATTCATCTAATAATTTCTCTTAATAATGTTAAATGTAGAAAAGAAGTATAATAAAATATACTCTAGCAGAATCTGAACTAAGACTAACGAAATGTTGTATCCAAAATGTAACTTTTTCTCTCAACTAATAAGATGAATGAAAAGAATTGAAGAAAATTACCGGAGTGCGGCTCCCATCAAAGGCACGAGGAAAGGCTTCTCTTGTTATATTGGCACTGGCAGCTCTTATTGTAGTTTGATTTCTAACAAAAGGGTGACCCAGTAGTTGAGAAGCTGTGGGCCTTGCAGATGGTTCCCTCTGCAAGCATAGCCTTATGAAACTTTTTGCATCATGAGATAGGTGATCTGGAATCTCTGGCATATCCTTGCTGTTTCCAATTTTAAATATTGCAGCAACCTGATAATTAGAAGGAAATTAAATAAATAAATATCTGAACCGCTAAATGCTAGCATCCACAGAGTATTGTAGTATAAATTTAAATGTCTAACCCCTTCATATTGGCTCCAAGGTGGTTTTGATGTAGCCATTTCGAGAATTGTGCATCCTAAACTCCAGATATCCACCGCAAGGCTGTAACCATTTGTATTCATCACAACCTGAGATAGAAGCAACCATGTAACTATAAATTATGTCAAAGCTCTGCCCACAAAATTTTAAGAGTGTTTTTTATATGCGCACACGTGCATGTGTTGTTTTAATTTTTATTGGTGGGGGCGGGGATGTTTAAGGAATATAATATCATCATATACAGTGTATGTCATTGTGTGCTCTAGATGTGTGTTCGAGAGAGAGAGAGAGAGAGAGACCTCTGGTGCCATCCAATAAGGACTTCCTTTGAAAGATAGCATCGAAGAGCAGGACTTTATCTGGAAAATGGAAGATTACAAATTATGGAGTCAGTACGATGGTTGCCAGAAAACAAAACATAATCCGTAATTTCTTAAAAATTATGGGCCTGTTTTGGGTTTGTGAGTAATATTATTTTATTGAAGAATGTGTGATAGAAAAGAAGAGAGAGAAAAATATATTTTCGAAATAATGGGGATCAAACAATGGCTATATCAAAAAGAAAATTTTAGTAACTGTTTCTCAGAGATGTTTTCACAATGGCAAATGCATCAAAAAAGGGAACCTATTCTTCAGAAGGTACATCTATAATGTAATTGCTAAGATTCTTAATTTATCCTTTCGGCCCTTATTTTGGGCAAACATCAGAGTAAAATGTGCTTTCAGTTGGTGTATAGCATCGATTGTAGAGTCTTCAAATAAATTCTGTACAATATATTTCTACTGATAATCATGGAAAATAGTTTTCATCCAAACATCAAGAGACATTTCCAGGCAATTTCAAAGACTTTCACTAAATCTCGGCTTGCTTAATGATGCCAAAGATATATTTTTGAAGTCAGTAAAACGAAATACCCATTTGCCATTACAAAAAGATTATACATACATGTTTTGCCATGCCAAAATCAGCAAGTTTAATTTCACCATTGGGATCTACCAATATATTTGCTCCTTTAATATCTCTGCAAAGAAGTGAGGGAATTTCAAGTGTGGTGGAATTTCACACGAAGAAATATGTGGCCATTACAAAAGCAGCAAAATCTAACCTGTGCACTGTATTTCTTCCATGCAAGTAAGCGAGTCCCGAGAGAATCTGTCTAGTGTAATTTTGTATTACAGGCTCCCCAAAGGCCCCATATTCTTGCAGTAATTTGTGGATGGAACCTCCAGAAACGTACTCCAAATAAACTGACAATGTTTCTTCGCTCTGGAAAACAGGTAAACCAGAGTTACAAAAAGAACGGAGCTTTATAGCCATTGATTCAACAGTACGTCAGTCAAACTTGGATCACAACAGAAAATTATGCACATGATATTGTCCATGCAATCCTATATTCAAAACAACATGAAGTTAACCCGTACCAAGTCACTTCCATAATACTGAACAATGTTCACATGTGAAAGCTGACTGAGCAAGGTAATCTCCTGTTCAAATAGCCAAAAATGTCATAGATTCAAGATAAGGTATTAACACCTAACTGTGTGAAACCGAAGGATAGATGCAGCATAGAGAAAGGATTCTGGACCTGATTCAACTGCTTCAAACATTCTTTTGATGACTGATCATCCGAAACAACCCTGACTTCCTTTATTGCACACATTTGTCCATTTTCACTGTCAATTTAGACAATCAATTAATTTATGCCGATATTACTAACAGAAAGAATCATAAGTTTGATCTAAAACTAAAATTTTGTATCAGGGTTGATGACTAAGCATTACAGCGAAACAGGCCGCAATTTCTTTTAATGCCAGAACAACACTCGTTTATCCAATTTCATAAAATTTCCATATTGGCACAAATTTTAACATGATACAACAGATAGTGGAAACCTCATTACCAGTTAAATCCAAGGTAAACATGACCAAAAGTGCCCCTTCCTAGAAGCCTCCCTTTCCTCCATTTTGATGAAATACTACTTGAGTTCTCAGCTCTCCCAGGACTTCTTGGGGTTGGCAAGGCAGAAGGGCTGGAGGGAGAATTAGGTGGAAGGGGCAGCCTATGAAATTCACTCTTTCCATCTTCCAATTTCCCGGTGGGGGGATCCAAATTAATACCGCCAAATCGTGGGTGGAGAGGCGAGGTGGTAGTGGTAATCCCCCTCGATCCTCGACCAGGACTTCGCATCACTGGACTCGATTTGTTATCTCCATTTCTTCTGCAACAAAATAAGAATTTTACATCCATAAGACTAATCAAAGTTGTGGCACAGAAGCACAATTGAAACAACTACTAGTAACTTATCAGTGCCTCCCATGTAATTGATGACCTTGCTAGGAATACGAGCATGTTTGGCTTATTAAATAAGCTAAAAAGTTTACTTATATAAAATTGATGGGGTTTTAAAATAAAAACTTTTTCATTTAGTCGGAGTTGGGAAATAGTAACTCTTACATAAATGAGAGCTGATGTCTGTCACCGGCATACCATTCATCTATGCATTAATAATCATAATGTACAGATATAACCTTCAATCACAATTTTAAATTCACATCCAACAAGTCAACAATTGAATTTGAGAATGTAAGAAGCACAGTTCGACAAAGGGATACCTAAAAACGAATTTGCACATATATCAGCAAGAGAAAACTCCAAAGAAAAACTACTCTGTAACAACCAAAAAGAAGAAACACAAAAAAATAGACAATGAAAAAGAAATATATTATTTCTTAACTTTTTTCTTGGGGCATTAAACTTGTAGACTCCTCTGTATGGAAGTATTAGACTTAGAGGCATATAAATTCCTTAACTATAGAATCCCTATCACCGAGCTTATTTTGAATTCCTAATAATTGCTAATTAAAAATATAATAAATAAATAAAAGCTACCACAATATTTGCGACCCAACCATACCCACCATAAAGATTTGTTAAGCCCGATTTATCTCTTCATATAATTTTTATAATAATATAGTTGGTACATACTCTAATTCTCATTTAAAGTGCAATCCAATTCCAGTTGAAAGATCAAACTAGATTTCAATTTTACTTAAAACAAAGTAAATTACAAGAAAGAAAGAACCAAGCGAAATATTCAATCCAGAGCAAAGTCCTCTTTTATGGGCTAAGTGAGTCATCAAATTTTCAATTCAGGTTTTTAATAAGCCAAAATATAACACAAAATCAATTGATAAATCAATCAATGTCCAACAATAGCCATGACAGATAAAATAGACCAAAAAAGCAACAAATAATCCCAAAAATTATAGCAAAAGAAACCCAAAAATCCGATCTTTATTAACTCAAAAATTAAGCCGTAACCATAAAGTCTTAATTGAAAATCAAACCAACCTGAAAGCAACTTGATCAAAAACAACATGGGCTTGATCATCAGTTGACCCGGACGAAGCGACGCTGGAATACCCCGACCCACATCCTGACCCAACACCGTGTATCTGAACATGATCAGTTGATGACTCAACAGGCATCGGCAAGGGGTGCCCTATATCCAAAGATGAAGCTGAATTAAATCCGGAAAATCCCGAGTACCCTCTTTCTTCTGTTCCTATAGCAGCATAATCTCTGCTATTTCTTGGTGAATTTTTCGATTGTTTCTGTCGCAAAACAATTCCAGAAACCTCATCAAAGCTCTTGGCTTTATTGTCTTTATTTTCTTTCCCTATCTTCTTTCCATTGTCGACTGACGAAGCTCTCGCAGAATTCTCATTCTCCCTCTCCGAATCTTTACTTCTGCTAGATCTTTTCCTCCACCAAGCTGGCATCTTTTTCAAGTATCTGTAAATTAAATTTCTTCGTATATATCAAAGAGAGGGGCAAGACTGGAATTGGGGTTTGTGGGTTGAATTTATACGGGGGGAGACGAGCTGAAGAAGACAAGTTGAAGAAGAAAAGACCCAATATTTTGAAGGTCTTGATAAGCATAAAACACATATTATAATTTCATTTTCAGTAGCGAGAGTGGGGTCGTGGAAGATGCCAATGAGGGGTAGGGAACAGTGAGCGGTGGTTGGATTAAACCAGCGAAATGACGTGGCCTTTCTTTACCAGTGTTGGATATACCCAGGCGTGCGTGGGTGTCAGTATCAGTTGTGAAGTGTGTGTGACTAGTGTAGATGCATGAATCTTCGCATGGAGCGTTTAGGAGCTGTCAAAACGTGTTGGACCATTTATGCCCTGTTTGGTAAATAATTTTATCTAAATTTTAATTTGAGTCATATATTTATTAGGAACCACAATTTTTCAACTTACATTTCATCAATTTTTATCAAAATTTACTGAAAATCTAATTTTAATCATCACCGAACTGAGGTTATATATCAAGAATCTAGTTTTAAGAATTTGTTTGATAAGAAGTTTGAAAAATCAAAAATTATTTTTGAATTTAGAATATTAGGGTTCCTTTCATTTATTTTTCGGTTTTCAGTTTTGAGTTTCTAAATTTATTTTCAATTTTTTTTTCCTTTTTTGAGTGAGTGTTTTAAAGTTATTAAAAATGCATTTGATTTGACATTTTGAAAAATTATTTCTCAAAGTAGAGAATTAGAAAATACATTTGGTTTGAATTTTCGATAAATTATTTTATAATAAATTATTTCATAAAAATTGATTATTCTGCAAAATATAACAATTTTATGTTAATCAAGTAGTATACACATTTTAAAATTGGTAAATTTTATAATATCTTTTTTTCGCTACAAAAGTAAAGCAAAAACAAATAATAATTTTTTGTTGATAAAATATTGAAAATAAAAAATGAAACTTAATGACATAGACTTCGAATTTTATTTATGTTCTTCTAAACATATATTTTTTAGAATTTTTATGTAAATAATCAATAAGGACTTGTTTGGTATGGATTAAAATCTAGATTTTAATCAAATCAAAATCAACAATTGGTTTTAACTACATATTTCATCATATTCACAACTTTTATATCACACATTTCATCAACTTTTATCAAAATCTACTAAAAATCGAATTTCTAAAAAGGTGGAAGTAGAAGTAAAAACTATTTTAAAGCCTTATTTGGTAGAGATATTTTGAGAATAAATTCTGTAAAAAAAATAATTTCTTTTAGAGAATGTGTAATTAAAAAATAGAAAAAAAATATGAATTTAAGTATAAAATTATTTTATTAAAAGAATATATATAAAAATGAGTTCAGGAAAAATAATTTTTTTAAAAAATAGGGATCAAACATGAACTAAACGACCCTTAATATGAGGGTTTTGTTATTTGTACACCGACACCCCGGAGTACGCCCCTCTGACAAAAAAGGAGGCTCATATCCAATAAAAAATTCGTAGATCCTATTGTGAGAAGAGCTGTACATCGAGGTACATATAGCAAAATCATAAATATAACCTCCCTCAGATACTAGAGCCGACCTGCTATAATCACAGGTCGTGTTAAAGCTAAGTAAATTTAGATGACCAAACTATTAAAGTAGGGGAAATAGAGGCCTTTTGTTGTTATATTATTTTGTTACAGGCTAAAAAGAGTGAATGAAGAAGGGAAGAATCCATTTCGATGATTGTGCTATGCCGTGTAAAAAACGCCGTCCATGTCCTTTTCTTGCCTTCAATTTTAAATGATATGCATACATTGAGTGCTGATTTCGATAATCCAATTTATTTTTATTTTTTTGTTGATTTTTCGCCTTTATTTGAGGCCCATTTTGTTGAAAAAAATAGATTTCGTCATAGTATTTTTTTTAAGAATGTTTGGTTTTATTGAACAATGTGTGGTTGAAAATAAATTTTAAAAAAATGAGTTTTGAAATATTATGGCTCAAACAAGGGCGAATCATTAGAGCAACACAATTTTTTTAGTGATTAATTGCAACTAAAGCTAAGTGAAAAAATTTATATAGCTAGCGTGTAGGATAGTCATACGATATTTATTTTATTGGTTCGTCTCAATTCGACATAACAAATAAAATGCTACCGAATTCGAGTATAAGAAGAGATTGCTTGATTCGATCAATCTAAACCAATTGACATCATCAATGCTCGATCAGATGACGTAAGACCTTTTCTATTGCGTATATGTCACGTAATTTATGAATATGCTAGTGTAGTTCATATGAAAAGGATTTATGGTTTGGCATTTTGTGGTGGAATGGCAGGGCAGTATGGAGATATAATGATTGAAGAAGAATGGAAGAATAATGGAATCTATTTTTTCCTGGTATATAATTAGGAAATGTAATGGTTTGTTTCGGCGGTTCGGTAGGTATATATACCATTCACCTGCCAACCTAATTCATTATCTACTCCCCCCCACCCCACCCCACCCCACCCCACCCCCAATTTATTTTTATTTATTTATTTTGGAGAGAGGCTAAAGCACCAAACATTCCACTTTTTTTTTTGCCCTTCTAATTGAGCCATTTTAAGTTAATGCAAATATAAAGTTAATTAGCCTAGTTGATTAAGAATGGAAAAAAATAGAAATTTTATTCTAAATTTGGTGTCATTGTCATACTTCTTGTCGCCATCACATTATTTAATTCTGAGTTATTACTTGTAAAATAATTTTGGAGATGCTTTACAATTCTTACAATTTGTTTTATACTAAAGATTCTCCTTTAATTTTCTTGGAGATTTTCCTGAAGAAAATTTATAGTACGTTAGCTAAACTATCGTGTAAAAATACAAAAAATCCCTCCCCCGACCACTACGTCCTCCCTATCAAGACCAATGACTTCATCAAATAGATTTGAAAAATGGACTTTTGAAGAAGAAAATATATAAATAAATAAAAGTACTTAACGATCAACTTCAACAAAAGTTTTTAAAAGTTCATTTGACATAATTTTTACTTTTACTTCTTGTAAAAGTGATGACTTTTAACTTTTTAAAAGTCATGTCATTCAGGTCCTAACAAGAAAATGGAAATGATGGTGTTTTCAAGAAAAATCATCATAGCAACATGGGCTCCCCCATATTTGACTAAGTTTGAGTACTTTTCACGTTGAATTAACAAATCACGTTATTGTAATCACTTAAAATGCATATTGTTTGAACATTTTTATTGAAATATTTTAGTTATTTTCTAAACTAATTTAAAATCCCACTAATTTACTATAATTGACATAATTTAAAATTCCCTTGCAAGAATATTATGAAGAGTGCATGTGGAAAATCAAGTTCCATAATGCATGGTTGAATGAAGAATTGAAGATAGAGCAGTCACATTTGGGAGTTGCCAAAGTTGTTTATAAGACAGACAAGAAAACCTAACTGACAGACTTGTCTGGAACTTTTACTTATGCTGTAGCCGCCGGCGGCCTGCCGGCCGGCCGGCCAAATAATAATATATGTATAACTTATTATTCAGTAATTCCACTTGCAGTCATTTTTTTTCTGTTTTACAATCAAGCTTATAGACATCGAATTGTATTGTTTTGTCAAGGACATACTAGGGCTCGTATGCATTATCCAGGAGAGTATCTTTCTCATAAAACAAGAAACAAATCTTCCGATAAGAAAAGCAAATACCATTTGGAAAAGGAATTTAAACAATCATCTTGCTCCTTGGACCTTGATGTATATTCATTCAAGTCCCATATTTCATCATCAACCATTCTTGAAGAGTTTTTATTTTTGAGGAGTAGCAAACTGAATCGTTTTCTCCCTTGTATTGGATTTCAAATTCTTCATTCTCAATTCCACGAACACTTTGAATGTGAGGAAAAGTTAGGGGTTGTTCTCTTCGTGTTTCTATTTTCAGTTTTCAATTTTGAATTCATTTTGGATTTTGTTTTTTGAGTGTTCATTTTGATATTGCTGAAAACGCGTTCTTTTTGTCATTTTGAAAATTTGTTTTCAAAAATAAAAAAATGAAGTTTTGGCTTAGTTTTAATTGAAAACAACTAAAACGACTTTTTGTCATTTTTCATTTTCTTTGTAAATTTTAAACTCATTTTTGGAAATTCGTTTTTGAAAATAGGTAAATAAACGCGTTTTTAGTGTTTTCGAAAACTAAAAACTAAAAATGACCTGAAAACATTAAAGAGAACAAACCCTAAGGGACCGTTCTCTTTGTATTTCAGTTTTGAGTTTTGAATTTGTTTTGTATTTTGTGTTTTGAGTGTCTGCTTTGATGTTGCTGAAAATGCGTTCGTTTTATCATTTTGGAAAACTGTTTCTGAAAATATAAAACTAAAAAACGCGTCCATTTTGAAATTTTGAGAATTTTTTTATAATATTTTATTCAAAAAATCTAATTACTCAATAAATTCCTCTTTGAAACCTCCAATTTCCCATTACATAGTACAGCACTACAAGTGCAAATTAACATCAAATCCTTCCAGTTTCAGTCTATTCTTAAAAAATTTTGTTCTCAATCAATGATCTGCACAGGCAAAAGAAAATTCCACAAATCATTTGATAAATCCCTATCTCAGCACAAATTCACCTCTTCGCCTATATGAACTCCTCAGAAGCAAGCTCCAAAACTTATTTCCATTGATCATCAAATCAAACAAATTTTCACACCGCATCACAAAAAAAATTATGAAAATGAAAAAGGAAAATGATTTGTGAAAACCCTTTAGTAACAAATTTTGACAACGCATCAAATCATCCTTTTTCTTCTTTCCGAAACTTCCCATTGGCTTGAGCTTCCATGAAAACCCTAAAGCCCTCTCCTGCTCAACCTCCAATCATTTATTATTCGTCTTCTTCTTAACCGTCCCTCCAGAACACACTCTAAAGAAATACCTAGATTTGAAGATAATATTAAGATGAGCCTTCGA